TTATAACTTAAATCAAGTTTAAAATTTCTAATTTTCCAAATTCTTTAGTAAAGTGAGAGAACAGGTTTATTAGAAGACATTCCAAGTTCCCAGCATGATTGATTTTGATAATATTTTTGGAAGCTTTCACATTGTTAGAATTTTAGAACTAGATAGCACCTTGGTCAAGAGATTTTGTGTGTGTGTTTGTGTTTGGTGCAGGGTCTCACTACGCAGATCAGACTCATGGTGATCCTTCTGTTTTCAGCCTCCCGAACACTGGGTGTAACAGGCATGTGCCACCATGCTCAGACTCAGTCACTGGCTCAGTGCAGCCCGGGGGCAGGGCCGGCATGGCATGCAGGACCGAGAATGGAACCCTGGTCCCAGTGCTTGCCGAAGCGGGCACTTTGTCCACTAAGCTCTCTCTTCGGCCCAAGAGATTTTAATTTTCATTCATGTACATTTCAGTTTGTGTTATTAGAGTGGTATCCAAATCTGAGGTACTTTGTAATATTATTTGAAACTTTGACTACTTTTTCATATCAGATATTGAAAGGATTTTATTTCTTTGACAGATATGAGTGAGAGTAAAGGTGAGAAGAAAACAAGTAGTTCCTTAGCTTGTTCTCCCTTTGCCACAGTTAAGAGGTTTTGTTTGCTGTGCTTTTCAACAATATTTAAATTGCAATTGAGTTTCCCTTCAGGAGCAATAGTATTTCCAAGAGAGTGCCATTATACTAAATACTTTGTATTCTCTAACCAATGACACTGCTATATATTCTGAAGAAACCAGGAGCAGAACATTGCCTACCTCTCCATCCCACCCCACTGTGAGAAATTCCTGTTATTGGTGGGCATCTCTCTTTTGAGGCGTATTGTAGACTGCTGACCCTCTAATACTGCCAGTATTCTGGAAAAGCTGAGGCTCTGTCAGCTGTGTTTAACAAAGTAGTATGTTTTATAGTGGTCTAAACACCAAGAAGTGTTTTAGGAGTATTCCATACAGCTAACAAGTGGGAATGGGATAAGACTGCCAGCATTTAATGGATAGAAGCCAGGGATTTTAAGTGTGCACTATTTTTAGTTCTGCATATGAAATAATTGTCCTGGGAAGAGTGCCATTGAGAAA